CTCGATCCTAGGCCTCGATCGTGGCCCTCGACCATGGGCTCGATCGTGGCTTCGATCATGATCCTCGACCCTTCCTTCAATTATGGCCCTCGACTCTGGGCTCGATCGTGGCTTGATTCTGGGCTCGATTTCTGGCAGAAGAAATTTCCAGCAGAAGGAAATTGCAACAGCTGTTGTAGTTCAATTTTTGATCCGTTAACTATCCGAAACTCACCCAAGGCCCTCGGGACCTCAACCAAATATACCAACAAGTCCTAAAACATCATAAGAACTTAGTCGAATCCTCAAATCACCTCAAATAATGCTAAAACCATGAATTACATCCCAATTCAAGCCTAATGAACTTTGAAATTTCTAATTTCTACAAATGACTCTGGAACCTATCAAATCACGTCCGATTGATCTCAAATTTTGCACACAAGTCATAAATGATATAACAAAGTTATTCCAATTTTCAAAATCAGATTCCGACCCCGATATCAAAAAGTCAACCCCCCGGTCAAACTTCCCAAAAATTCAACTTTCGGCATTTCAAGCCTAATTCCACTACGGATCTCCAAATAATTTTTCGGATACGCTCCTAAGTCCAAAATCGCCATATGGAGCTATTGAAATTGTCAAAATTCAAATCCGAGGTCGTTTACATATAGGTCCATATCCAATCCACTTTTCTAACTTAAATTTTCAATTATGAGACTAAGTGTCTCATTTCACTCCGAATTCCTTCCGGACCCTAACCCACTAACCCGGTAAGTCATAAAATAACTATAAAGTATAAATTGAGCAGTAAATGGGGGAACGGTGTTATAACACTCAAAACAACCGGTCGGTTCATTACATCTACCTAGACGACATAGTCATCTATAACAACACCTTAGAGGAACACATGGATCACTTAAGAAAGGTTTTCCAAGTCTTGCGGGAGAACGAGCTATACATCAAGAGGGAGAAATGCGAGTTTGCACAATCAAAGGTGCACTTCTTAGGCCTTGTTATTAGCAATGGCGAGCTACTCATGGACGGGACTAAGGTACGTGCTATCCAGGAGTGGGAGGCACCTATAAAGGTAATTGAGTTGAGATCCTTCCTTGGCCTTGTTAACTACTATCGTCAGTTCATCAGTGGCTACTCAGCAAAGGCCGCACCATTGACTGGGTTGCTAAAGAATAACAAGCCATGGGTTTGGACGAAGCATTGTCAAAGGGCATTTGAAGACCTCAAGGCAGCTGTAATAGAGGAGCCAGTCTTGGCATTACCTGACTTTGCCAAGACATTTGAGGTGCATACAGATGTCTCAGATTTTGCCATTGGGGGTGTCTTGATGTAGGATAAGCATCCCATAACATTTGAGATCCGCAAGTTAAATGAGACAGAGCGGCGTTACATGGTGCAAGAGAAGGAGATGACTGCCATTATGCATTACCTTCGTACATGGCGACACTATTTGCTCGGGTCGAGGTTCGTGGTCAAGACCGATAATGTAGCTACTAGATATTTTCAGACGTAGAAGAAGCTCACACCAAAACAGGCTAGGTGGCAGGATTTCTTGGCCGAATTTGATTATATGCTGGAGTATAAGTCGGGCAAAGGTAATGTTGTAGCCGATGCCTTGAGCCGGAAAGCCAAGCTTGTTGCAATCACTTCAACAAGATGGGACATTCGTGAGGCTATAAAAGAAGGCATGGAACATTATCTAGCAGCCAAACAACTTATCGAGTTAGCCAACTAGGGAAATACGAGACGTTTTTGGGTCAAAGACGGCCTACTGCTTACCACAGGTCGGAGGGTCTACGTGCCTAAGTTTGGAGACATTAGACGGCGGATCATAAGGGAGAGTCATGACACAATGTGGGCTGGTCATCCAGGCCAAGGTTGCACTAGGGCCTTGGTTGAGTCAGTCTAATATTGGCCACACATGTGAGATGACATAGAGTGTTATGTGCAAACTTGTCTTGTATGTCAATAGGACAAGGTTGAGCAATAACAACTCGGAGGACTTTTGGAGCCACTACCAGTTGCAGAGCGTCCATGGGAGAGCGTGACTATGGACTTTATCACTTGCCTACCGAAGTTCGACGGTTATGGCACTATTATGGTGGTAGTAGATAGATTTTCCAAATATGCAACCTTCATGCCCGCCTCACTAGGTTGCACTGCCAAGGAAGCCACCAAGCTATTCTTTAAGAATGTGTTGAAGTATTGGGGCTTACCAAGGCATATTATCAGTGATCGAGACCCCCGTTTTACTGGGAACTTTTGGAGAGAGTTATTTGACATACTTGGCACGGAACTACACTTTTCCACTAGTTTCCACCCATAGACAGATGGACAAACGGAACGGGTCAATGTCTTACTAGAATGCTACTTGAGGCATTATGTAAGCACGCATCAGAAAGATTGGGCAAGACTCCTAGACATCGCCCAATTCTCTTATAACTTTTAGCGGAGTAAGTCCACGGGGCGGACACCATTTGAGCTAGCCACAGGCCAACAACCACAAACTCCACATTCATTACCAGTCGCATTCAAGGGAAAGAGTTTGGGGGCTTATAATATGGTCAAAGGATGAGGAGGATCTTGACACTGCTAAGTCCTACTTGGATAGGGCAGCTAAGAAGATGAAGAAGTTTGCAGACCGTAAGCGGCGTCCCACGGACTATAGAGTTGGGGACATGGCCATAGTGAAGTTTAACCCAAGACAGTTCAAGGCACTACGGGGCATGCATCGAATCCGATTCGCAAGTATGAGGGGCCATTTAAGATCGTCGCCAAGGTAGGCAAGATCTCATACAAGCTTGACATGCCATCGTATCTTAAGATCTACCATGTCTATCATGCCAGCATGCTTAAGCCATATCATGAAGATAATGATGATCCGAGTAGGGGCCAATCAAGTCGAGCACCTATGACTTTCACCTCCTCGCATGATAGGGAGATTGGGACTATCATGGATTACCAGGACAGGCGAAAATAAGGGCAAAAAGCCACGGCTATGTTCCTCGTCCATTGAAAGGGGCAATCACCGGAGGAGGCCACATGGGAACGATATGAATACTTATGGCAGTTCAAAGATAAGATCCGAGAGTTTATGCAGCAGCATTGCGCCGCGGTCGTCACAACATGAGGTGGGGGAGAGTGTGATGACCCGCCATGTCATCATTCCACATAGGTGTCATTTGACATATATTAAAGCCATGTGGAAGCTTACATAGGAGGAAGGCTAGCATTTGTGAGAAGATTCTAGAAAAGTATGGACATTTCCTTTGGAAGACCCTAGATCCCTACGGATTTGCTAGGAAAGTCCTTGGAATCTTCTAGGCTTGTAGAGAATTCTAGAGAAAGCCCTTATCTTGTAAATATTAAGGACTTGTGCAACAATTAATATTTACACACTAGCCCCTAGGAGACTAGTATATAAAGGGGGCCATTCATTTGTAATTCACCAAGCAAACAATTCAAGTTCTCTCTAATACAAAGCTTCATTTAATAATTCTCTTATGTTCTTTTTACATTCTCTTAGCGATCTTGAGTGTAATAAGGCTGACTTGGAATAGCAAGAACGTGAGCAAGTTGTGCAAGATCGTAAGCAAATTGTCAAGTGCAGTGTGCTTAGTTAACGACTAAGGACGTGACATATATGCCTATTGCATGTTAATTTGAAAATCTAGTACTATTATAGTACTCTACTAAGAACTACTAGTACATGACATACATAAATAGCTAGATGGCTTACTACATACTTTATTCCCCAAACATGCATGAAAATTTCTTTAACACGCCTTTTTCTTTGTGGCATCCGCACCCTAACTTGTAAAAAGTAAAACTGATACCCTAAAATTACACGTGGTTATGAAGCCCTAGAACTTTTGTATGGTATAACATTCAAAGTTAGCCATCCTTCCCCTTTTGCTTTATTTACTCACAACAAGCAACATTCCGTAAAACAACTTGTCATAGCTTGGCAGATCTTTTTATTTCCCTTCGTTTACTATTATGTGACCAAATTAAAGAACAAAAAAAAGATTCAACGAAAGCTAGGTATCCGATCATGTAAACTACGAAGCAACTGCAAGCCTTTGAAATATGTTAAAACTTTTTTCGTACTCAATCAAGTAGGCAATATTATATATGTAAGTGTGGCATTTTATATAAGATTGACATATTTAGAAAGCTACCCCAGATTAATATATTCTACCTTACAATTTCAATGAATTTTCTTATGCATTCTTATAACCATTCCAATTTGCTCGTTTCATCAACGCCTTATTATTCGTGCCATGCGAAAACTAAGAAACGACATTAATCAGCCCAAAGGACAAATAAGAAAAGAAAATAGTGGTGATATAACAAAAAATAAAAAGTTTTTGTTAATTAGGAAGAAAAGTCACGTAAAATTATATGATATTGATGGTATTATATAAAAGAAAAAGGGACTACTATTATTTAAAAAGGAAAATGACACTGTATAGCCGCTGCAAAAATAATAGCCGAAAAAATATATAAAATTTGTATATTTTTTGTATATATATACATTCTGTATGTTATATACAAAAATTATAATACAAGTTTTCGGTTACCAAATTCAAATAGTTTCTGACGCGGGCTAAAAGTGATAATATCTCGTTTAAAAACCCTTATCACGATAGCCACCTAATGCCCATCCTTGTGCACCGTTGTTTGTATTATCAAGATTAGACTGAATTTCTAGCGTTATTACACATGAATAGCAAACACCTTTCCCCCAAACAAGGAGTTGAGTAGATGAGTGGAGTCTATCAAAGCAGCAACTTCAGTGTACTTTCTTAATGACCCAGTTCTTATTATTTTCTTGAAACTTTTATGGCCCCTCATAGCACAAGGTTTGTCTCCAAAAATTAGCAACCTAGCTGGGTCAAACAAAAGGGTGAGAAAGGAAAAGATAATATGATTGTGGGTCGGATCACATTTTAAAAAGCTATCTTTGGTTATCTTTATTTCTCTTTCTTATGTGTAAACGCTCCAACGAAGATATACATGCCTGTCCAGGTCTAGTTTTGTGTATATAAACACACACAGAGACATACAAAGGCACAAACTAAACTAAAGCTTATAGATATTTCATCCAAAGGAAGTCTACATTTGTGTTGCTCCTCTTCTGGAAAGTTACACAATATGACGGTCTGCTTCGTTCTAAACTCATGACTGTTTACATAGTCTTTTTTTTTGTGCTTATGTTACTTACGCATCACCATCTTTGTTATTATGAGTGTGTGCGTGTATATGTTTTGAGGCTCTCTGTGTGTGTGCGTGTTTGTGTTTTCCAGTGCTTCACCTTAAACCGCACATTGGTTTAGGTTCTGTTTCTGCATATTTATGTTGTAGAGAGATAAGCATGCATATATCACATAGCGTATATGAAAATGGAGAAAGAAGTTTGTTTTCTAACTTTATGCACTTCGTTTATATCTCTTCATATGTTATTGTTCTCTCCTTTTGGAGTTTATTTTCGTTGGATTACAGTGTGTTAAAGCAATTAATTATGTTATTGATCACATTATACCGAGAGGGCAAGAGAGGATAATTCTAACTTGAGTGCTCCTCTTAGCTTTGATGATCCTATACCATATTGGAACAACTCCACTATGTCGTTAAAGTTACTAAACATGTAGGAAGTACTATACTATTTGCTCCATGTACATAAAACATTCGAGAGTTTAATACTACTAAAGAGTGAAGTAATTGTTACTACTATTCTTTTCTGTCGATTACATGAAGTGCATTAAGTAAAGGTTAGTGGCTCCGAAAAGATGCAAGAAAAAGGAAGAAGATGTACTAAGTGGCTCTTCCATTCCAGTACATATATTTCTACTTTAATAAGATGGTGTTATATATGCTAAAAATTAGCTTGATGAAAAATAAAATAAAACCCCTATTATATATGGGGAACAATATCTACTTTGTTTTCATGGTGACTTGGCATATTGCGCCGTAGCCGTTGTAAGAAGAGATTTTATTAACAAATATATGCTTAAAATAGAGTACTATGCTTTTTATAAAGTAAGGAATAATGTAAAGAGCTTTTATAATATTAGTATATTTTAACATGTGATAGCAGATTAGTTATCATTTTTAACGTGTTGATGATTATTGTTTATATAGAAATTTATCTGTAATTATCGTTTAGGTATCATGATTGTGTAAATATTTTTGTACGGTGTAAGTTTACAAACTTAAACTCTAACTTAAGTTATCCATTATTATTTTAGATTGTGGAAATGAGAGTGCACATGGACTGTCAGGGATGCGAAAGCAAAATTAGGAAGGCTCTCAAGAAGCTTGATGGTTGGTATCTTTTGTCACAATCCTATTCTTTTCTTTTTAATTTTTTCTTTTAGCAAGACAGCCTTACCATTTGTGATAGATTTATAATATGAAGCATATATAATGATCTTTCCTATTAAATAATTTTCTTACATATTTTAGTTGGAGACAACGTTTAAATTATTATCCACCAAATAGACACCAAAGTCGTCATTCACACCGCTGGTAAGGTTTTTGTGTCTCCATGCTTGGATATAAAATGGACTTTTCTCAATGTCCAATAATTCTTTGGACCTAAACCATTAATGTGATTTGATGAGTTGATCTGTTTTTATCCTATTTCTATTAATTTATTTTCTCAAGTGCAAGAAGCTAGAGTACGTCTACTTGGCCCTTATGTAGCGGAATGTATTTAAACCATACATTTATATTAATTTTCCTAAAGATACTATGACAAATAAGTGATAATCTCTGATACTCGATGAGTTTTTACATGTTATTTAATACTGAGAAGGTGTTATCATTTTCTTTAGTCCCAGCTTGGTGATGGATATTTTGTGACAAACCCTTGGACTGACTTGTTTCATTTTTGGTACTCTCAGGAGTTGATAACATTGACATAGACATGAACATGCAAAAAGTGACAGTAACAGGATGGGCAGAGCAGAAAAAAGTCCTCAAAACAGTGAGAAAAACTGGAAGGAAAGCTGAACTTTGGCCATATCCATACAATTCAGAATACCATAACTACATGCACCATTATTACGACACATTCTACAGCACGCCAGCCACTTACTTCGCACACCAGCCTTCTTCTTCCTACAACTACCGCGAGCACGGCTACAATGGCCATGCTCACGGTTACTATGCAGAGCTACCTTACAATACGATCTTTGATGAACGAACGAGGCACATGTTTAGTGATGATAATGCCACTGGCTGTTCTATAATGTGATTGATCTGATTCAATTTGCTCTTTAGGCGGTTTGCAATTCTCTACTTGTTTTCTATTTTTTGGGTAAATGTTTCATTGCAAATTAGACTTGTTTTGGGTTGGGTAATCTTTTTCTTTTTAGATCGTTGAGGTTGAGAATGGGGGGGAAACTGTGGAACTTACGATGGAATTAAGGCCTGCTGATTATGTTCCTTTGCTTGTGTTATCCATATTTCAATGTGTATATATATAGTTTGTTTATTTTTCCTTTCATTTCGTTAATACTGTTCTTTCATTTACCTTTCCTGTCGAACATGAACATGGAATAGAGCAAATCACAAAACTATCGATTATATTAACTTACCAATGAAGGGTGGTCAATTTGAACAGCCTGTATAGGGCAAATATTACTTTTAATACATAGGAGTATAAATTAAATTTTGAATACACTCGGGCGAAATTTCTAGCTTCGTTGAAACCAGCCGGCATAAAAAAATAAACCAGCAACTTTGGGACAAATAGACATTTGCAGTCAATTATAGTATCCGTCAAAATAAAAAAGAAGCAAGCTTTTAGCGGCTTCATATCATTTATATATACGCTGAATTGCTTCCTGTACAACTATAAGAGCTACAAGCTAGGTGTAATTAATGAGGAGGACTCAGGTTGCTTCTCTTGTTGCTTTATGTGGTCTGCCACATGAGAAATTACTCCAGCTCCAGCATTGTGAAAGAATTCATTCTTCACCTGTCACCGGAAAATAGTGATCGAATTAACCCTGATGGGGAGGAACATAAAGGAATAGAATATGGAGGGAACTTACATGGATAAAGTTATGCGCGAAAAAGGGCCAGAACGCCGAGTGAAAGCTAACATCAACCTTCTTCCACCCCAACTGTTGCAAGCCACGTATCATTTCCTCTGTTCGAAAAGAGTAGTGAGATTTTAGCTTGCTGTAGAAGATATATAGTAGCATTGAGATTCATTTGAAACTAGCAGAAAACATCTCTCTTAGTACTATTACCTTCCATACTTTCATGATATTCTAATGTGCTCTGCGTACTTGGTGCATTTTGTGCTGCCGCCTTTGCTTTGGCTGCCTCAAGGGGGTAATGGGGTCCTTCACATGAAGCTGGAGGACAATATTCCACATCTATTACATGTTTGTAGCCATCCAACGATCGCCAAGGGGGCTGCCAATTTAACAAAATTGTCGTGTCATGAACTCCAAAAAAACTCTGTTTCCAGAAGATCGCAACTTTTCAGAGTTCCACAGCTATTATCCAGCTAATGTATAAGATTTCACATGATACCATGTTTTTATGCGTATTATATTCATCTAACTACGAGAATCAAAGGTATGCATGCATGACATGGAATATGTACATACTTAGACACGAAGACTCATAAGACTCACGCAACAATGCAATGAGCATAGTGCGAACTATTCATTCCCCTTTTACTAAAGAATAGTATAAACCAATTTTGGAGTGTTTTCTCATTTAGAGAACGAAGAAAAAAGACTAATTAGACATGGAGTAAACCAGGCCTACAGTCATAATTTGCAGTGCCAGTGGAGTGGAGGAGAACTGAGCATCTCTCTCTGTGGGAAGAACAATTGCATCCCATCCCCCTCGCCCGACAATAAGCTACTACACTATACCTTTTTCTGGGGCTTAAACAGTAATGAAGATAATTCTACTTTCCGTCCACAGTAGATCCATTCTTTTGTCTGGGAAATACAGTAACTCACCATTAAATAGTCATGTCTTCTTTACAAAATTAGCAAATAATTCTTACTTGAAATAGCGCGACTTTGAAATATCAAATTTCCCATATAAGGAAATACCCGTCCTTGATTTGCTTGTTGTATGCAAGTGAAGGGTCTAAAACTTGTAGCTGTTTCTAATTCAAATTTCAGTATACCAAACATATCAAGGGTTTTTCGTTTCAAGGGAAGATGTAAATGAAGTGTAAAATAATTTTACCAAGTTTTAATCCCCTAGGAATAAAAAATATATAGAAAAAAAGTTGCGTTATCATAGATTGAGAGATTATTACCTACACATCATGTGCATATGCGTTTAAGTTTTAGAATAAATTAATTCATGAATTGCTTGAATCCTGGCTTTTCCAAATTCAAATCCTGTATCACAACTGCCACAGGTGAACTAACAATGGTAGCACTTTGAAAGTAATGAAACCAAAACACTAACTGGATGTTGCATTTCTCCATTCTAAAGCAGCTGGGTCAACTCTTTATCACTGAGATTTAAAATGCAATTACTGGATTCAGAGTCAAATGTACTAATCACTAGACCATGGAACCTAAGTTGCTCCGACACGGCAGTTTAGGTGCCGCACCCGTGTCGACACGACACTAGTATGGGTGTGGATATGGGATCCGTACCGGATCTGGTCAAACAATTTTGGGTACTTTGACAACGAAAAAATCGAGACGAGATACAATTTAATTCTCAAAATCAGAATCAAAACTAAAGTAAATTTGAATAAAATAATATACCTTATCTAGAAAATCAATCATTTACTTATTTACAACTTGAAAATAAAAAGGAAATCCACACTTTACAAGCTATACGTAAGTATTCCACAAAATTTCTCATAATTTAGAAATATTTTTATTTTTTTGAATTATATTTAGCCGGATCCCCGCACCCATATCCGTACTAGGATTTGTATCCCCGACCGCACCCGTGTCCGAGCAACTTAGCATGGAACTTACTGCTCACCTACAATTTCCAACTTAACTCTTTATCTGACCTACAACTGTCAAAATGGTTGCAGAGTATATTAAATCACTAAATTAAGTTTGAGAACCACATAATTCCTTGTTTATCATTAATTATTTTCCCAGCATACTATGGAATGTTCTACGAGAAAGAGGAGTGTGCATTGGAGAGAGCAAGGGTTGCTCTCGCCAAATCATCAACAACACAGCATTCTGTGGTTTTAGAATTGCTCCAAGCCGTATCCCAAAACCTCTTCCCTAGGAATTTCAATTCAATCCCGCACACACTTGGCAGATTGAACGTCAGATCTGGACTCTTGAGTAACTATTGCTTACCTAAACCAATTATAATTGTATGTCCTTTTCTGTCTTTATCTTGACTATATGCTAATGTTCACAATGCTATAGTTATGGACAACAAAAGATAACAACGATATGTAAATCTCAAATCACCTTGACGAGTTCTGTCTCCCTTCTTATAGATGACGTACGCCAACCGACCATATCTAGATAATGTCAAGAAATTGAGAGAAAAGGCACTGGAATGAACTCTATCAATGAATTATTTTTTGCTAATTAAATGAAGAAACAGCAAATGAGATGCAAAGGATACGATCATAAGAGACATTAGCATATAGAACACGACATTTGAAAGCGCCAAGCGCTGATCTGCAAGAAGGAAAAGCCAGGCATAAGAGTAAAAAGAGAATGGGGCAGGAGAAACAGCTGCTTCGAGGACTGGTAGGGATAATTATGCTCACATAAATTTTCCATCATCGCAGTCTGATGCCATCCTTAGCAGCAGAGGTGGTTTAGTAGGTTTGCCATCCGTAAGGAAGAGCTGACTACCAGTTTGACCAACAAAAATAGGAGCCATAGGTGCTGCAATTTTCTCCAAGATTGGCAACCCACAGAGAAAAGGAAGCTGAACAATAAAAGCTAATCAACTGTCCTGATGTCAGGAGCCATTACAAAGTAATCACAACACTATTTTTCTGGATAAGCTACTAATAACAACATACCGTTCAAATTCTGAGAGACAGTATCAAAGATTATGATTTAAACTACAGACTTGATGATTTGTTTGACCCAACATTAACGTTGCAAATTAACATCCTCCTAAATGTAAGTTAATATGACCTCAAGTTAATATCCTCCTGGATGCTTCAGGTTTGTTGACACACATGAGACAACTTATTGAAGGCCTGGCAAGGCATTTTCTTTTCTGTTATACTATGTGGCTTGATGTCTAGTTAATGATTCTTGGTATGTAGTACACCACAATGATTATCTGTATATAATCTGTCTTGCGTAATAAAAGGCAAAAATATTCCTGGCATTTGCTTTAGTGAAATAGGATGTTTCATGGTTCCTTTTCTTTACTTGTAAATATTGATTAACACTTGTATAATTTTCTGAGTAAATAGGTACTGACACAGTCTTTCCCATTCAATATGAAACAATTCAGATTTTTGACTCATGCTTAAAGTGGTGCTGTTAAAGTAATGAATATTTTAAGACACAGTAAGTACAGACATAGTCTTAAAGTAACGAAGAATTCAGAAAAATCCAATTCAAATGTCTTAAAGTTTTCTGCTTTAAAAAAGCTAAAAGCTAGTGTCTATTCCGCAAGCACTTACTAGTCCACTAAAGTTCCAAAATTTTCCAGGTAGAGGCTTCATAACGAGATTTACAATTAAAAGCATGAATATAGGATATATACTTATCATTCTCAAAAATTATAGAATATATGCATAAAATACATGAAAACAACTGAAATTCCTATGAAAGAAATTGTATTGGACACAATCTAGTAACTTCGTGAAGGACAAAAAATATTGAGATAAGAATCAATCATGGATCACTGATCAGATTGTACCATGAGAACAGACCTGATTTTTCCCTCTCACACCCAGATGTGGTGTTGCCAAGGTGATAAAATTGACTGGCTCCAGGCCAGCAATCAAACCTTCATTTAAGGAGCCTACTGGTTTGAGGTTTGCATTAGTTGAAGTGACTGTATCATCGGACTGCTCACTACCACTTGATGAATAAAGAGCGGCAACTGCATATCTTGCAATCAATCCACCAAGAGAATGAGCTAAAAAGGATATCTTCTTTAGGCTTTCTCTTTTCTTCACAACCAGCCTAACCTGTTTATTATCAGATGTGCCAAACAGGAAAGGATGAGCATTCATAGTTTCACACTGGAAGCACAAGCCATGTTGGAGACTTGAAAAGGCACGGGTTCAAGAGGGTTATGTTTTGATGTCAGAAATTAGTGGCTGGAAACTATTTGGCCATTACTTTGTTTACATAATTGAAGTTTCTGAGACGAATACTGAATGCAGGTTGAAACAACTAGCTTTCGGAGATAATTTTTATTTAAGTAGTGAAGGCAATATGCTTATGAAGTAAAGGTATATCGAGGCCAACTTTACCAGTTTGGTTGCAGTGATTCAGGTAAAATAAAAAAAGAAAAAACCCAGCTATTATTAGTGCAATTTAAACA